TGGATATTAAAGGTACCCACTTCTCAGGGTGGTTGTGAGGACCAAGGTGGTCATGTGTATTAAGTACTGAGTAGGGGGCGCCTGGGTGGGTCAGTCAGTTGTTAAGCAGCATGTAGGCTCAGGTCATGATCCCAGGGTCCTGGGATGGAGCCCTGCTCAAGGCGGAGCCTGCTTCTCCCTCTCCCTCTGCCTCCCGCTCCCCCTGCTTGTGCGCGTGCTCCCTCTCTCTCTCTCTGTTAAACAAATAAATAAAATCTTAAAAAATAAAATAAAATAAAGTACTTAGTAGAGTGCCCGGTGCAGTGCAGGCTCATTACATGTTAGCTTCTGTTCCTGCCACTAATATCACGATCATCCTCATCCTCTGTATTATCATTATCATTACTCCTACTACCTTCATCAATATTACTATGTAAAGAGAAAACAGGGAAGTGCAAAACAGTTTGTATATTATGAGCATATTTTAGCAAAGGATTCTATATCAACAATATGCTTTTACGTGTATGTAAATATGAAGAAGAAGGGACAGAGAGAGGTATAGATGGAAATTAAATTCATCATAGAATTGGTTATCTGGAATGAGTGATGATATGAAACCTTGAGATATTTTCTCTTTTCGGATTGTACATTCCTAAAAGAGTTTGAGTTTTTGGTGCCACTTCTTTTGTAGGGAGAGGGGAAAAAATGACATAACAATATAGACATGTTTAAAAAGGGCAAAAGGGAGAGGCGGCTGCATGGCTCAGTTGGTTAAGCAGTTGCCTTTGGCTCAGGTCGGGATCTCAGGGTCCTGGGAGCGAGCCCTGCAATGGTCTCCCTACTCAGTTCAGTGGACAGTATGCTTCTCCCTCTCCCTCTGCGCCTCCCCCTGCTTGTGTGTGTGTGTGCGTGCAGGTGCGCTCTCTCTCTCTCTCAAATGAATTAAAGAAAGAAAGAAAGAAAGAAAGAAAAGGGCAAAAGGTAAAGAACTGAACATAGTCAGGGACATCATGAATTCTCAGCCTGAAAAGGAAAAACGCAGACCTTTGGATCACTCCGGCTTTGCTGAAACCCCAGATGAGAAAAAAAACGTATTGGAGGGGAGGTGGGTGGGAGGATGGGTGAAACAGAGAAAGGGGATTAAGAAGTACAAACGGCCTGTTATAAGTAAGTCAAGGAGAGAAAAGTGCAGCATAGGGAACATCGTCAATAATACTGTAATAATGTCGTCTGGGAACATATGGTGACTACACTTACTCTGGGGAGCATTGCGTAAGGTAGAAAATTGTCAAATCAATATGTTGATTTGAAACTAATATAACATTGTATGTTAAATTATACTTCAATTTAAAAAAATACTGGAAAATAACTTGAAGGGTATGGGGTTTACTGGTTATTTCTTTTTTTAAAAGATTTTATTTATTCATTTGACAGAGAGAGACAGGGAGAGAGGGAACACAAGCAGGGGGAGTGGGAGAGGGAGAAGCAGGCTTCTCGCAGAGCAGGGAGCCTGACGTGGGGCTCGATCCCAGGACCCTGGGATCACGACCCGAGCTGAAGGCAGACGCTTAACGACTGAGCCCCCCAGGTGCCCTGTTTACTGGTTATTTCTTGACCGTTAAGATTTTATCCCTGTATTGACCCCGAACATGAGAACTGCTTGTGCTGACATGACTTTGGTTTCCTGAAGTGTGACATCCCTTTAGTTCTGTCCCAGCAGGACGCCTTTGGCTGGTATGAAGACACATATTAAGTCACATGCAGAACAATCGTCTCCCTGTGATTATCACAAGATTGCTGATGAGGACATGGCTGACCCATAAGAGAAATATCTTGAAACCTCAACATCAGGAAATCTTTGCTTCTGAGGGAGTGGCTCACTTTCTCTCTATGGGTAAGATAAATAGAACAAGTGAGTGTTTCTCTCCTTTATGTGACGGCTTCCAGGAAGCTCAGAAAAAGAACTGGAGCTCAGCATTAAGTATGTAGGATCCTATGACCTACATATACACATTTCAACGTTGCTCTGGTATCACTCTATTTCCCTAATCCTAACTTTTCATGTGTTTATACATGTACATTTTATGGTATAAATAATAATGTCAAACCCATATATAAAGCTTATTATGTGTGTGTGCCAGGCATTGTTCTAAACACTTAATATTTTTTTTAAAGATTTTATTTATTTATTTGAGAGAGAGCACAGAGGGAGAGGGAGAAGCACACTCCCCGATGAGCAGGAAGGCTGAGGCAGAGCTCGATCTGAGGACCTTGAGGTCATGACCTGAGCTAAAGGCAGACTCTTAACCAACTGAGGCACCCAGGCGCTCCCTAAACACTTAATATTAACTCAGCTGATCTTCACAACAACCATAAAGGCTTAGGTATCATCATCATCATTTTACAAATGGGGAAACTAAGCTACAGAGAAGTTAGAGACTGCCTAAGCTCACAAAGCTGTTACGAGCATTTTGGCCCCAGAGTCTGTGCTCTTACTGCTTCTTTGCCTCTAAATGTTTTAACATTGGTCAGGGAGAGGGGAGCAAGCAAGAACTTACCTGGAAATTAGTCATGTCTGCCTCATGGAGAGAGGGCAGTGGCCTAGAAAAGCAAAGCTGCAGAGAGGGGGGAGAAGAAAAGAGAAGAGGTTGTAATAACATGGAAAAATGGAAAGTTCACCAAATCATCAGGCTAGCAGTCCGTAACCGCCAACTGGTTAAGTGACCACGCTGTAGCCAAGAAAAAACAGGAAAGAACATTCGTTTTCCCCACACAGCCCCATCATTCAACAACACCGCTCGGTCACGGTCCTCACAGACCTCCCAACACTCACCCTCACCCAGCACTGACTCCAGACACCCCCCATCACCCCAAATACCCTCACTGTTCACCCCACGGGCCCCATGATGCACCCCAGAGATCCCCCGTCACTGACTCCAGAGACCTCCCATCACACAGCCCAGGCCCTACAGCCCCACTCGGCAGAGCCCCCCCCCACTCACCTAGAGGCCCCCTTACCTAGCCCCCAGAGACTCTCACGACGCAGCTCAGAGCCCCCCTCCAAGTACTCCGCCGGCGAATCCGCGTCTTTACAAAGCCCGCACTCGCACGTGCCGCTCCGCCCGCAGACCGGCGCTGTCTCCCCGCCGCTCCGAGCGAACCGTCCGCCCTCCATCCCCTACTCTCCGGGTTTCCACCTGGATTCTGGCGAGGTCCGCCTGGAGTTTCTCAAGTTCCTCCAACAACCACTTTCTCGGGCCTTTAGCCCACCGTCGAGGGGTCCGGCTCTAGTCCTCGCATGCGCACTTGCCCTCGCTGCTGCCGTCGGGTCTGCGGCCAGTGGCAGCTCGGTGCGTGTGTGGTTTTGCAGCGGCCTTGACCGCACGGGGGGTGGGGCAGAGAAATGGCCGCGCCAATTAACCGGTTTGGCAGGGAGCAGACATCTTTCAAAGGTTCCAATTCCGTACAGCGGAGATCGGCGCCCCTGAAAGTTCAGAAGACATGGGATTTCGGGAGGACTTTGAAAACTTGCCACGAGCGAGGCCCTTGGCGCAAAGGCTAGTGATGCGCGAGTTATGCGCGTGGTTGCGGGTCCGATGGGAACTGATCTGGACCAACGTAGGGCTGAGGACAGGACCAACTCCTCCGTGGGAAGATACCACGGCGGAGTTGGGCATGGGGAGACCGGGAGTAGTACAGTTATCCCTGGGAACTATTAGTGGGAAGAAGGGAGGCAAACTGGGAATGATCCCTTCCTCTACCACTGGGGAAATGGGGAGAAAGTGTAGGGGTGCAAGAAGGTAACACTGGGGAGATGGGGGGGTGGGGAACGGGGGAGTACAGTCCTTCTGATAGATACTATTCGGCTAGCGGTCCTCTGTGGGAGATACCACTGGTGCAGATGGGGCAAAGTCGGTCCTCGGAGAAGGAGACCTATGAAGAAAGTGACAAGGGTAAACGTAAGTGCAAGGAGAGCCAGAGACAGAAGGCTGGGAGGACTGGGGCCACAGGGAGGCCCTAGTCGGCGACTAAGTAAGAATCCGAACCTGACAGTGATCGGCCAGGTCCACATTCCATCCCCTTTCTAGGAATCTGCCCCCAGAAAGTTGTGGGAGGGTCGAGATGCCAGGGTCCGAGTCCTATGGGCCCAGGTCCCAGGGCTCCGGGCCTCAGTAACCTGTGGAGGAACAACCAGGACACAGTGCTCAGGTTCTGGACCTTAAACACTCTACCCTATTAATCACACTCTACCACTTAGTCATGTGAAAGGCAAAATGCACAGGATGATTAAGGAGATAATTTTTTCCCAGGCTATTGCAATGGGGAAAACTCGTTAATGAGGAACATCTCAAAAGCAAGGAAAGGGACCTGGGGTTTTATAGCGTGTTAAATAACAAAACCAAGTAAATTTGAAGATCTAATTGGTTTTATTAAACAGTTCATGAATCGGGCGGCAGCACCGCACCCCCAGCAAGTAGCGAGGTGCTCCAAGGAGTTGTAAAAAATGCCAGGTTTGTACAGAAGGGTGGGGGCAAGAAAGTTATTAACAAAAGAAAAGGATTGTTCCAGGCCAGGCCTCGCTCTAGGGGGAAAAGCAAGGTGTCTTTTTTTTTTTTT